TCCATGTATTAGGCAAAAATCATCATCAGACTAAAGTGCACATAGTCATGGCATTGCTAATTCTGAGGACTATCAAACACTATTTCCTCAAGTGTTAGGAGTTTTATAGAACACCCTTGGATCACACACTTGCCTTTTAAGGCCTGGGTTGTATTAGCTCCACTGAGAAAATGTTAACATGCATTTGGGGTTTGTGTCCTGTGAGCTTGCCTTCCTCCTACCTTCCAAGGGGACCTGCTCACTGACTACACCTGGTTTCCTGTGGGGCCAGTGTGACACCTAGGTGGGCTGTGATGTGACTCTTCCTCTTGTCCTTTGTTTCCCTCTGTGTCCCAGACACTGTATGTCCTTTGAACATTCATCAAACATGTCCTGCAAATGGCCTATAAGACCCTGACCACAGAGCCCTCATCAAGAGTCCATTGTGAGCCTCTCTTCTCGATCCAGTAGTTCTAGTTTGTGATTCCACAACCCATGTTTAGATAAAGAATATGTCTCCTTAAGTCATGGCTATTCTTGTCAGGGAAGCTACTGATAGAATGTCCCACAGAATACAAATATGAAAGAGAAACCATAGTTTGTAGTGAAAGGAACAGGCTTCAGGTCAGGTCAATCACCATTTTCACCATAAACAAGATGAAGGGTCCGGACACTGCTGTGACCACCAACATCATCAAGTGTCAGACCCAGGAGAAGGGAGCAGGTGTTCCTCACGCCCATTCCTTGCTGATTCTGAGCAAGTCTCAGCTTCTGGCTCAGGGTCTGCCTGTCTTCCCAGGGGTCTACACACCCCATTGGGAAGTGAACCCTGTAAATTAGGAAATATAACACACACCTTGGGGAGGGCAGAGTGGGTCTGTGTCTGATGAAGAAATTGTCTCAGATTTTCACTCCTTGTAGAATATGAAGGTCAAATATTTTGATTTCTAGTGTGAGGGACAGGCTACCTCTTTGGCTTCCTGCATCTACAGAGCACTTAAGTCTTGAGTTTCTTGAACTAAAACTGTGGCCTGGGCCAGGCTGACCCCATCTTAGGTCATCTGTGCTTCACCCAGGACACCTGACTCCCAGGGTTCAATTTTACTTTGTTCCTGAGGCCGTTCATGGTTTCTCAGTGGTAAATTGCAGCAAGTTCCCCCTGTGAACCTCAATGCCCCTTCTTCTCTTTATTTGTAACTGTAGAATTTCTAGTCATCTCATATTCTGTACATTTGACTACTTATTAATACTTTCTCTACCACTTTTTCCCTACTCTATAAGGTAAGCTATACATTATCCTCATCCTTATACCACCATGCCAAGATGACTGCTTAACACATATTTAGGTGATTAATAATTTCTTTTTCCCTCAATTGGCTAATTATATTAAACATCACATGACAGAAAATTATATCATTATTACTGAATGGAAAACACCTGAAACCTACATCTAGTTCATGTCACAGTCACCTGTAAAAAATTAACAAAAATCCCTGAAGAGTATATCATAGGAGAACATCATGAGTAAAATAGAAATTTATGAAGTATTAGGAGTTTAGGAAGTAGAAGAGGCTAGAATGGATTTTATGGTGACTATTAAAATGAAACACACAAGAAGTTTAAGACTTGGTTATACTAAAGGAAGGAGCCAGCAGCATTTTATGCAGAGAAATGGTTTCAGGATAGGAAATAGGCAGAGACAAGCTCTAACTCTGCTAAATTTTGAGGAACTAAGGTTGTAAGAGACAAGGACAACATAGAATCCAAGCTGATAAGCTCAGAAGTATCTGTCAGCTCCAGGAAAAGAGGCAGTTGAACCATGGAACATCCCTGTTCACTTGGTGTGACAAGAGCACCTCAAACCAAATAACCCTTACCACTTGGACTCTAGAATTCAGAAAACTTACAAGAAGGAATAGGGTGGTGGTTAAATATATGGGATTTTCTGTCAGCCTTGTTGCTTAATCTGTTTTGAATTTGAGTTAAGAGAATTAACCTGTTTCAGATTTATTTTCCCACCCATCATGAAAATTGGTTAATGATAACAGGTGCATAATATAGTTAATGTGAAAATTCTTTCTCATATTGGTAATCACTCAATATTAGCTAATATGAGTACAGTAACTGTTTTTGTGTATCCTGAGAAGACTTCCTGGCGTACACTTCATACTGCTTCTATGCAGTCATACAAGGCTGTCTTCCTCCCACCACAAATGGAAGTAACAGAATCATGTTCTTATTTTACATGAGTCAATTTGGGGGTCCTTAAGATTCAAATGTTCCATCCCTGGGTAAATGACATTCAGTAAAGCTAGATTAAAAACCCAGGCCTTTAATTATCAAGTGACTCAGGCAGTTTATGGCAATGTGAAGTTTAGCATGGATGAAAGACCATGATACCAGAAGTGTTCCCAGTCAAACCACAGAATGGAAGGGTCAAGGCCTCTCCCTTAAAGGAGAAACAGACTTGGAACAAGAAAGATGTCAGATCACAAAATCATATAGGAGAATCATATGAAGAAGAAAAGTGTGAGAAACTTTGAATAGGACAATGTGTAGATTGTGCAGACTGGAAGGTTCTGATCTTCAGGATGGGGACAACTAGTACCAGTCCACGGCCCATTAGGAACCAGGCTGCTCCACAGGAGGTGAGCAGCAGTGAGCAAGGGCAAAGCTTTATCTGCATCTCCAATCAATCCCATCACTGGCATTACTGCCTGAGCTCTGCTTTCTGTCAAGTAAGCAGCACATTAGATTCTCATTAAAGCACAAACCAGAGTGTAAACTGTGCATGTGAGGGACTGAGGTTGCCCATTCCTAATGAGAGTCTAATGCAGTGGTTCTCAACCTTCCTAATGCCGCAATGTATTTTCATTGTTAAAAAGGGGGTCGCTACCCACAGGTTGAGAACTGCTGGTCTAATGCCTGATGATCTGAGGTGGAGATACGTGTTTGAATCATCTCTAAAACCTCACCCTTGTCCACGGAAAAATTGGCTTCCATGAAAATGGTTCCTGGTGCTAAAAATGTTGGGGGCCAATGATTGACAATGTGGTAAAATGATGAGCAAAGCATGAAGCTCCCTCCTTGTGTAAGCAGAAAAGTGTTACAGAGAGTAAACAGTCAAATTTATAGAATGTGAGATGGGCTTATATTCTACAGTTGAAAATGAGAATGAAGGAGACAGAGGTCCCAGGGGGAACTGGTTGCAATTGGCAATTGAGAAGTCAGGAAAGACCTTAAGGACAAATGGAAACTGTAGAAACTAAGGACTTCAGGAGCTGGGGGAGGGAGGCAGCTGTCTTGGGTGGAGTGCAGGTGCCCTGAGATGGGGTCAGCCTGATCCAGGACATGGTTATGACAATATGGAGAGTTAGTTCAGGGACCTATGACTTCATATCAGTGTCAGGTACAGGAAAGCAAAGAAGGCTGTGCAGCCAAGACCCCAATCTCAATATGTAACTTTCACCTTCTGTACAAGGGGAACAGTTAGGACAACTTCTTTCTCAGACACAGACCCACTCTGTTGTCCCGGAGGTGTTGCTGTGTTTCCCCAGGTGTGCACGGCCTCAGTCTTATCTTCAGGCAGGCAGACCCCATGTCTTGGCATGTGAGGGGCAGCATGGAATGGACGTGGAGAACACCTGCTCCTTCTCCTGCGTCTGGGCACTTGTTGTTGGTGTCAGTGGTCACAGAAGTGTCTGAGCTCATCCGATTGAGTCAAGAATGGCAAATATTTGCACTTTACCACTATCCACTTTCTTCGAGAACTGTGGTTTCTCTGTCACTTTTGGACTGCTGGGAGCATTCTACCAGTGTCCACATTGATATGAGTAGCCATGGTTTATACAGAAAGAGTTTAATTTTCAAATGTGTTATGGAATCACGAACAGATACTATTAGAGGCAGAGTAAATGTGGAGGCAGACATTGGACTTCTCCACAGGGTTCTGTGGTCAGGGCCTGATAGACCATTTTCAGGATACATTAGACATGTGTTCAAGGGTCAGTGAGTGCCTGCTGAGGGAAAGGGATGAGAGACAGGGAGAAGAGTCAAATCATAGCCCACCTAGGTGTCAGACTGGCCCCTCAGTGATACCAGGTGTGGGCAGTGAGCCTGTCTTCTCAAAAGAGAAGGCCACAACCCCAAATATGGCATATATGTTGGGTGGGCAGTAGGAGACAGACCAGCAGGGGCATGTATGGCCATCTCTGCAAAACTGAGGATCTAGGAGGGCACTTTTGTTGCTGTTCCTTCCAGAGACCTGGCTTCCTGCCTGCACTCTCCAACCTGTGTAAAAACCTGGATGTCAGAAACCTCAGCACCTGCAGCACCAACAGGAACTCAGGCTCCTGGTGAGATGCTGCCCCTGAGTTCACTCTTCCTGGTACCCCCAGGAAGCTGCATGTTACAGGCAGAATCATGTTCTCTGCAGTTTTAAGGCAACCAAGAGAGTACATGTTGCAAAGTGCAACATGAGTAATTGTACTTGTGCATTTTGTTGTGTGTGGCAACCAACTTCATGTACATGAAATCCAGATTTTAGTATATATGGCTGAATAATAACTATAACAAGGTGTACCTCTGCCTTTGTTGTACTCATCATGTGTTTGTTCCAATCATACATAAAGTTGTTTTGATGGAATGGATACAAACCTAGATCTTAAGAGATTTGGGTCTGTTCCACACACTTGCGGAAATAGGGTGAGGTTTCCTCAGAATTAGTGATGCCATGAATGTGTGGGATTTAAACTGATGATGACTGTTTGCCAAACACATGGTTGCCTTTGCGAATGAAGCCACTGTAAATGGGTCCCTGTGAATAAATGGAGCAGATGCAGAGGTCAGCAGCATCACTGAAGCTTTCATGTCTATTTGTGTCTGAACCCACAGTTCCTTCTTGAAATTCTTAGTGTTTGGAGCCGAAGAGTTTGATTTACATTTTTGATACATGGGTCCTAATGTGTCTTGCTCATACACGTGTTATGTAAAAGAGGGGAAAACACAACAACTTTGCCCAAGGACTTTATTTCTAATAAGAAAAGGAAATTGAGGACAAGGTAGAGTAGTGACAGCAAGGCTTGAACTGCTCTTCACCCATTCTTGACGGTCAGCAGCAAAACAAGTAGGTGTCACCTTGGAGCGAGCAGGTGCCCAAGACAGTCTCCCCAGCAGCGCAAGCTGGCCGTCTACAGACGCAGGCCCTACCCCTCACTGGGCCTGGGAACACAGAGAGAACATCAGAAGCTCAGTCCTGGGATCAGCAGTGATGCTGACAGTGAATTCTAGAGAAGACACATGTTGGCTTATGTGTGGCATGGCTGCATTACAGCTGGGTACATGAGCAGCCTCAGTTAGTAGGAGCAACAGCACACACAGTGTTGGTCTCACTGGGGTCAGATGACGTTGTCATTAGTGCTCACTCTTCCGTGTCCGTGACCCATCACACAGGCATCTCTCACACCTCTCAGTCACTCTGCAATTTCTAAGAGCTCTTCTATACAGAGTCAAATGTTCTCTTTACAATCAACTCTACTCTTTTCAACAACCAAAAAAACTAGTCAATAGGTCTCTCCATATCTTAGACCTTAAAATTCACGAGCCATCTTGGAATCAAAAGTCTTGGAGAAATGAGATCTTATAGATTTATTTGGATCTCAGTGTTCAATTTATAGATAAGGAATTCAAGGCCTATTGATGTTAAATAAACTCACCTCAGTGACATGGAGCCCTACAGACCCAATTCCAGGGCCTCTAGTCCTCTTGCTGTAGACCCTGAAGCTCTGCCATGTAGGTGTCTCTTACCTGGAGCTTGATGGATGGAGTTTTTATTCAGTTTGATGGAAATGGCCAAATCCTCATCCTCTAAACCAAGCTGCTCCTGGCGTGGGGTCTCCTCTACTCTCTTTTGCAGGGGCTCAGCCTGGGCCTGGAGGGCCACCAGGAGAAGGACAGCAAAAAGGCTGAGAGTCCTCATGCTGGGGCCACCTGGAAGACAAAGAGCAGGAGCCCAGGTGTGTGGCTGTGAGGAGGCAACTTGTGTTTACGGGTCTGTGGGAGGAGGCTCAGAGACAAACAAGACTCCTCTCACTCTCTAAGCAGAAACTAGGGCACTTCCCCAGGGAGGATGAGAGAAGCCTTTTCCCTCAGGGTTCCTCAGAGTTTCCTCTGCTCTCCCAGCTGTCATCCTGGTGTGTGAGATCTGCATTCTCCTACATGGACTAGGTTGGCGCTAAGAGTGGTAATAGGGACTTGGTTATTTTTTTTCCTGTATCCTACCTGCTTAAATATTAACAATATTCCAAAAATATTCACAAAACAAGATAAATAGTACTTCCATTCAATAACCTCAAGAACAAATGCCTCTTATTTCTCAACATGGATCCTGCTACTGGCTGTAGGTCTAGACCCTGGTCTCAGACCTGCACTCCAATGGATCAGAGAGTTTATTCCCTGCAGGGTTGGCCATCACCACTTTCATGAAAGGGCTTTTGAGTTACAGGTAGGGGAGGCTCTTGCTGGTGCCAGTGTGGAGGGGACAGGGTGAAATGAGCTCCATGAGATATAGGTAAAGAGTTTGTCTAAGGCTAAAAATATGATTACTTGTAGCTCTATTGATGTACAAATGACAATTAAAAATTATATTTATCTAATATATGCTAGCTTAAGATTTGATATATTTTCCATTTGGACCTTTATTTCATAACATATACAGCAACCAAATCAGTATGGATTAAAAATCTATACATAGAACTTGGAAGCATAAAACTTCTAGAAGAATAACAGGGAGAAGGCTTTTTAACATTGGGCAGGTATTTCTTGGATATGACACCAAATGAACAGGTAATAAAAGGGAAATAGAGAAGTGTGTTAAACTATCCGGCATATTCATAGCAAAGAAAACAACAACTGGAGGAAAAGGCAACAGAGAAAATAAGAGAAAATAGTTCCAAAGCATATGTGAAATAAGTGATTGATATCCCAAAATATAAGTAACTTAAACAGCTTAATAGCAAAGAAGAAATAATATGACTAAAAATCGGTCCAGGACCTGAACAAATTTTCTATTACACATACATGTTGATATATTTCTTTACTAGATTCTATGGATGTATTATTCAAACAAATTAAAGAATGTTTTAAGAGGCTATTATAATTTTTATTGGACATTTCAATTAGGACCCCTGGCTTTTGAATGAAATTCTTTGAGTTTCTCTATTAACACATCTAGTAGCACCACCAGAGGCCCAGACAGAAATGCACCATTTGGGAATTCACGTGCTGAGTCCCTCTGGGATGCCCTCATAGTCAGGGGTCAGATTGTGGGCACAGCACAGCCTGGACACAAACTGAATCACAGTGTGGAAGTTTAGTTTGAGTTACTTACAGATCCTTAGACTAGGCAGGGTGACTGGAGAGGGCAGACAGCAGTCCTCTGTCCGAAGCCTCTTGTAGCAACAGCAACCAGGCACAGGCAGGAGAAGACTTCCCTATTTAAGGGTCATTTGGGATG